ACACTAAATATAAACTCTGAGACCACCCTAAATCATGTGAAATTATATTTGGGGTAATTCGGATCAGTCTTATTATTTATTTGGGGTAATTTGGATCAAAAAGCCAATATAGTTGGGGTAATTCGGATCATTCTAGCGATTATAATTAGAGATTATTTATGAAATTCTACAACTTTCATTGTGATCTTTCCAGTAGAATTTCTAAGTATGTTTACGTTCAAAAAAAATGGTCTTAGCACTATTAATTAATTTTACAACGACACCAATGAATTATCGGGATCACTGAATTATCATGTCGTCAGTTTACTATATCAAAATAGTGCAATAACTATTATTCAATTCTTTTTTATTCACGTTTTAAATATTAGAGATTTGCTGTTGAATATGAGTCAGGTTCGATAAATTTCTCTTTGTATTTAAAAAATAAAAACGATCAAGGTTTCATTTCTCCTACATTGATATTGTACGAATTAATTTGTCGTATTATTTTACTTTATCCAGGTAGACTTCACATTTAATTTAACGAATAGACAAGGAAAAGAGAAAATGAATTATCGTCCTAGATATGCAGGGGGGAAACAGCAGACTCCACGACTCCACTTGACTCCATTTGGCTCCACTTGACTCCACTTGGCTCCACTTGACTCCACTCTGACTCCGCATGACTCTATATGACTCCACTCTTGTATGAAGTCCTTAGAATTATTCCCTTGACTATAGTCATGGCCTTAATCCCGAAATTGACTGTGTTTGCGTGTTTGTCCACAGGACAGTAGTTCGGCTCTATGTAGTGTTATATAATGGGAATATCCTTAGGGTGTGGGTGTGGATGTAAGTGTGGGTGCGTTTCTGGATGTGAGTCCTCTATTCACCCAGATCCACAGCCCCACCCACCCACACCCACACCCACACTCATCCACCCACACCCACAGTCACCCACCCACACCCACACCCACCCATCCACACCCACAGTCACCCACCCACACCCACACCCACACCCACACCCACCCATCCACACCCGCCCATCTACACCCACCCATCGACACCCACACCCACCCATCCACGCCCACCCATCCATACCCACACCGAAGGAGATTACGAGAAGACAGTCGAGTTTTACGAAAAATCATTGGCTATCAAAGAACAAACTCTCCAGCAGAACCATCCGTCCTTGGCTACGTCCTACAATAACATTGGATGGGCATATTCAAATATGGGCGAGCACTTAAAAGCAATTTCATCGTACGAAAAAGCACTGAAAATACGACAAAAAACTCTTCCTGATAATCATCCTGATTTTGTTCGATCCTGTAACAATATCGGAAACTTGTGTAAAAATATGGGTGACTATTCGAAAGCATTTTCATTTTTGGAAAAAGCAGCCGCCATCTTAGAAAGAACTTTTCCTCCGAACCATTCCGACTTGGATATTGCATCCTGCAACATCGGGGCCGTGTATGATAACATGGGCAATCACACTCAATCGCTTACATATTTGGAACGAGCACTCCATATCTTCGAAAAAACTCTCCCTCCAAACCATCCTGAATTGGCTATTACCTGCGACAACATTGGCACGACATATTATAACATGGGTGAGTACTCAAAAGCATTTACGTTTTACGAAAAAGCATCAGATATCCGCCAAAAATCTCTCCCTCGAACACATCCAGACATCGCACAATCGAAAAGGAACATTGAACTTGTGAAAGAGAAATTGTAATTGCATTTTTTTGCCAAAATAAACAAAGTTTGCTCTTTATGTTTGTCGAGATTCATTACGAATTTTTTCTATCGAATACTTCTTTTCGAGCGCGCGCGACCAGTGATATCTTCGGAGTGCGAACGATGCTGATGATGGCTGGGCAGCCATACATGTACGTAAGTTGTACGAGATGATGACAATGATCTACATGGCGACCAAAGGCCTTTCCATGCACTCGTGTACGTCTCAACAGAACGTTGAGTGTGGGTGGGGTGTGGGTGGGTGTGGGCGTGGGTGTGGGTGCAGATCTATCTGTCGATCTTAGATATCATCCATACCCACAGTCACACCGACACTCATACTCACACCCACACCCACATCCACACCCACATCCACACCAACACCCAAACCGACACCCACACCCACGCTCGCACCCACGGCCTCAGCCACACGCACCCCACCCGCACCCCACCCGCACCCCACCCGCACCCCACCCGCACCCCACCCGCACCCACATCCACACCACACCCACCCACACCCACACCCACACCCATACGCACACCCACACCCACACCCGACACCTACAGCCACAGCCACGCCCTTATCCCTCTCCCCCCCCCCCCCCCCACCTTCAGGGGTGAGTTACGCCCCTGCTGTTAGGGGTCTCATTACAGTATAGTGGATGGATTAGTCTCTATGTGGTCCTTTCTGATACGTAGGTCTTCCGAGCAGGCTCTAAAAGGCCAGCCAGGACCTATCCTGGCGTCCATGGCACACGACTGGCTCTCCACCAGGGTGGTTCATGGTTGTGCTCTCGAATACAATAGGATTGAAGTTCACTATTTTCTGTAAATAGGCATTACTTTTTGGTTCTGTGCGATTTTATTGTAGGATGCAAAAAGATGAATCACGCTGGTCTGTAGTTTTCATACAAAATTGTTGGACTCTGTTGTTGTTTTTATCGACGACATACAGATTACCATACCGATCACAGGACAAGCCCCTGGGACTGTGGAACTGGTTTGCTTCTTTGCCTTCACTATTTCCACCCACAATGACAATGCCCTGTTTCGCGCCTTTAGGCCAACGCATCACTCGATCGTTTCCTGAACTTGCCACATAGATGGTGCCAAACGTATCGACGAATAATCCGTTAGGGGAAGCCAATTGTGTCAGAGCATCCCCTTGACCTTGACCTCCAGCGACGACAACTCCTTTTTTTGCACCTTTGTTCCATTTCATTACACGATGATTGTTACGGTCCGACACGTAGACAGCCTGTTGTCTATCGACAAAGAGATATCTTGGCTCGTTGAGTTGATTGAGACCATCACCTTTGCCGTGACCACCAGCCACGATAGTTCCATTCTTATCTCCTATTTGATATCGTCTGACTTCATGTTTCTCCTCGTCAGAGATATAGAGATATCTCTGATCATCCATGGCCAATCCCCAACAGTTGATGTTGTCGATGAGAATTTCTTGAATTGTGCAACTACGACGAGACCATCGTACGACTCGTCCATTTCCTCGATCACAGATAATGAGGCTATCCGTCTCTTTGTCGATCAACAGATCAGTTGGATATCTCAATTGATCCAATCGATTTCCTTCGCCATGACCACCAGCTACTACTTCTCCATTCGTATCACCCATCTTCCATTGGACAACACGATGATTGTCAAAGTCAGCGATGAGCACTGCTGAATCCTCATCGAGGAAGAGACCGTAAGGCCAGTCGAATTGGTTGGTAGCACTGCCTCTTTCATGGCCTCCAGCAATTGTCACCCCATTCTGTACCCATTGGGCATTGGCTGAAATATTAGGAATCACTAAAATAGATGAGACAGAAAAGGAATCTTTGCCATCGTCGCTGTCAAATAGATCCTCCTCTCTCTCGAAGAAAATACTACAAACGAAACAGCCCTCTACGAAGGGGATTTGGTAAAACTATCGAGGATGTCCTTCTCTATCATGCCGTAACCAAGAAAAGTTCTTCCTGTAAAAAAAAATTGGAAAAAGTTTTCCTAGTTTCCTATAAAGGATTGAAGCAATAAAATAATGATCTCTGTCAGACTCTGAAACTAGAAAAATGCCGAGAAGTTTTTATTAGAATCTTGTAAGGAAGATGCTAAGAAAGAGAATTTTGACTGCTTCGCAAAAAAGTGTGCATCGTCAACAATACAGGGTAGGAAATAATATTATTCCAGGGGGGAGGGGAGGGAGGGGGTATCGCTATAATTTCAAATACAGTAAATAATGAATTTTATATCAAATGAAAGCTCGTCTAAAATGGGCTTTTTTTAGTACTAAATAATAAGGATCATGAAAACTTTCGTAAGTTGAACTCTCAAAATTTATAGAATTTTATAAAATAGAATCGTTATAATTTACTTTTAGTGAATTGTAAAACAAAGTAAAAAAGGAAATTTCTTTGGAAAAAACGAAGAAACCATTGTTCTAGGGATCATAGGACATAGTTCTGATTCAGAAAACAGGATTGTGATTTTGCGTTCTGTTGTCTGTTCCTCGTGGTAGCAATTAGTTAAAAGAGTTTTTTATTTTTCTTCTGTTAGAAAGTTATAAAAGAGAAAAGCTAAAGTAGTTTGTGGAGTCATATATAAGTTCATTTTCTGATCGATGTATTTGATAAAAAAGAATCCATTCTTTTGGTGAATCAACGAAGTTCCATTACTTGAAAATGACTTTTACTTATGATACTAAACAGCGGAGAATGATTGAGAGAATTAAATGCATTGCTTTTCGTGAAGCTCGCGATGTTGGTGCAATATTTATAAATAGACAATGGGTCGTGGAAAAAATTCATCTCACGCCTCAATTTGTCACAGAATAGTGGAAGAAATCATATGACCAATGTTTTACTGATTATTCAAATACTGGTCCCAAGCTCAAATTATCACAAGCTAGTCAAGACATCATTCTTAACCCTTAAAAGCCGAGGGGGTTCCTGTGATAATTTGAAAGAACCGACCATTGGAACCGAGCTTCTGAGTCATCAGTATGATTATATGACAGTGAAAAAAGGAATTTTTTGTTTTCTTATAGAGATATAAAATATCCCTTGGAAGAGACATTAGATCTTAACGGTCCAAAATTGTTCACCTTTTCTAGTATATATATGTCGAAAAAATATTTTGAAGTGAATAACTTATTTGTTATGTTTTATACACAAGAAGTCAATAGAAACTAATATTTTCAATTACTTTTTAACAATAGAACATGAGAATTATACATATCTTAAATAAGAAAATATTTCTGTCTTTACTAAATTCAGTTATTTTCTGGTATGATATTCAGTAAAATAATTTTTACTTGAATTAAGACATAAATGTACGTTGCATTTCAAACATTTCCAATATGTCTTTTCTGAACATTTTTCGTTTTTACATCGAGTATTATTAACTGCAGAAATAAATGCAGGCCAATGATTGGAACCATCAAATCGTAAAGCCTGTGGTACATTCAATGCAGTTTCATGTACCTCTTTTGTTGGTGGTTCATTTTCTTGATCATTTTCACTATCATCTAATATTGAATGAACTGAAGCTAATTGTAATTGTTGCAGCTTCGACTTGTTTAATAGAATTCTTGCTGTTTTAGATTTGAAATTAAATAATCTGAAAGATCCATGACTTGTTATACCGTTACTATTACTATGACGGTGAGAGTTCATGAGAATCCAAGAATTGATAATCATCAAGTCGAAAATTCTCCATATAATTCTTGTATACCATCGTTTTGATTAAATGGAATTGAATGTAAAGATACAAGCATGTCCATTGCGTCGACCTCTCCCATAAACTTGTTGTATTGGTTTATGATTTGAGGTGCTTTAACAGAAACTTTACATCGTTTTCCTTTATCCCAGCGTTCTACTGTTGTTTCTGGTTCTATACCAATGTGATTATAGCCCAATAATACCCTCTTCGAATCTTTCCAGCCAACCACGATACACCGATTATTGTCCGATATATAATATTCATGGTAACCTCTTTCCTTTTCTTCAAACTACTTTTTAGTTGATACTGGGCATTTTTCTAATCGATGAGATCGTAATGTACAAGTTATTCGATAATCCAGCTGAGTTAATTTTTGTATTAATTTAGTAGATGCAAAGTAATTATCAATGAATATTGATGAACCAACAGGAACACCTTCAAGTAAATCTAATACTACGACTCCTGAAGAACCGTGTTATTTAAGAAGTGTTTCACGATGTGTATCAATTAATATAGTATTTTTTGATGCTGTTGTTTTTCTACGTGAAGCAAGTTTCAATGATGAATCAGGTAATGACGGTTCAATAGAAACAAATTTTGGTTTACCATGATGTAAGAACATTTCATACGCAAAAGCTGATACTCCACATCTAGTCCAGACTTTAAAACCTCTTTTAGCAGGTTTCTGTGGCATATATTGCCGAAAAGATGTTGGTGCTGTTGTTCCCTTATAAGCTACCATTTGGTCATCAATTGAAAGATTTTTCTCTGGTTTAACAATCAGTTTACATCGTTCATTGAAGTATTTCAATATTGGTTCAACTTTTTCAACTTTATGTTTCTCAACTGAATTATGATGAAAATCAAGTATTGATAACAAGTACATTACTCGATCACGGGTAATAACATTCGCAGCTATTGATTGTCGAGATAATGATGATCAGTAGCCTCGCTTGTTAGGTAAGGGAATTACGGATGAATAAAAAAGAAAGCTTATCAAGCAATTAAGATCATTTTCAGTCATCGGACTTTGTTTTGTTTTATTAGTTTGAATTCTAAAAAGATTCGATTGTTCAAATATATAAGAAACTAATTCTGGTGTATATTATAACTGAAAAAAATCTGTTGGTGTTGCATTTCGTGGTATGTTCGAGTCATAATCATCTGATCATTTTAATTCACCATCATAAAATGGTAAATTAGATTTTAACTTTTTTCGTAACCATGATTCATATTGTCTCATCTTTTTTGTAACACCTTCATCATCAGCTGATTCACAGAATACATCTGACTCACAATTTACACTATCTTCTCCAACATCATCACTACCAATATCACTTATATCTGAATTCATTGAATAAAGTATATCATCATCTGAACTATCATTTTCCGTTATTTTAGATATATCCGAAATATTTTTCGAATATGATACAGGACAACTCGGACTTTTAATCCTATATATACTAATAAATTGATAGAACGCAAGACATAGAAGATCGAACAGAAAAAAAATTCGTCATCATATCTATAACTAACACACTAATGCGCGTTCCGTCTTCGTTTTGATATTTTATGTGTTTTTATTGAATGATAGAATATTTCGGACCGTTATGACCGAATGTCCCTTCCAAGGGACATTTTCTTCGTAATGTCATAATGCATCAGTAAATCGGTTAAAAAACTCCGATATGGTCTCATTCGATAGCCCGATGCTATGTCTTGCGATGCCACTCAAAAAAACAGACTTTCATATTGTATTAATAAATAAGCAAAAGCTTCAAAGTAAAAAATGACATTCAAAAAATCATGTGTCTTAAAAAATCCATTGTTTTGTCTAACAGGCACTCAATACTGATCTTTTACTATTTTCATGATCTATCAGGTTATCTTAGTCCAAGAAAATACTGGATCTTGTATATGAAGTTTTATTAAATGTTTTATTGAGATTTTTTCAACGTCCCTTGAACGGCAAAATCAGCTTTTACGGATTAAAGCAAGTGGTCAACAAGGAGAAAGTTGTCCTATTGTGGCGAAGGAGATTGCAGAACAGCAAAAAGAATATGTCGTTCTAAGAACAATCAATAATTATCATCGTAGAAAAGGATTGAAGCCATTCCATTTTATTCCAAAACCGTTAAAATCGGAAACTCATATATCAGATCGGTTATGGCTGTGCGATTGGTTAAAAGGTTGGACCGAACAGGAGTATGAGTTCTTTTCTCACATTTACACGCACACGCACACCCACATCCACACTCTCACGACACACTCAAGCAGTTCAATAAAGTAATGGCGTTCAAAGAGCTTAAGAAACAACGGGCAAAAATGAGTATATGAGTGAATGGTTGAGAGTGATGATCAACAGAATTCTCTTAACCCTCATTCATATGTGGTCGAACTCTTTTAAAAAGAAAGATTTCGAAGAGCGCAACATGATAGAATTGTTGGATTTAAAATGATACGGGACGATCTCTTGTAACAAACCTCAGACCTAACTCGACTATGTTTTGATGAAAGATATGACTTTCTAAGGTAGCTCGATGTCGAATTCACAGGTTGAATAAGATCACTTGAGGATGTTAAAACGGTCCAATTCTGTTGGATACTATTTTATTGATGAAAATAATTCGAGGCAAAGAATTTTATTTAAAAATAAGTAAATCCTCTTTTCTATTTATCGAAATTTCGTTGTCAGAACTTTCTCTTTATTGATTAAATAATTTTATACAAATGACCTAATTTCTTTCTTTATCGTGTATAAACTGTACTCAGTAGTCAGATATTTTTTGTATAATTTTACACATTGTGCCATGCAAAATCTTATTTGCTTGAGAAAATGTGTAAATAACTTACCCAAAGTACTTGTATTTGATGACTTTACAACCGGTCGCATTTCATTCATAGCTGATGCTAATGGGTGATCATCGTTGTCATCAATCTCAATTAAATGTACAAGATGTGAGCCATTTGATTGATCTAAAGGATCGCTCTTCACGCGAAACTGTGAGCCCATTTGTAAAATAATTTCATTTTCATTTTCATATTCTGTATATCCAGAAATTTTTTTTCCATTAACAGCTTCAATAAGAAAAAGAGTTGAGTTTTTGTCGTTACCAAGGAAATTTTTAATAACGTTGACTGATGAAGAACATGAGTTAATGCTCCACCACGTCACAATCTGATTTTCGGTGAAATTCTTGCCAATATCAAGTGGTATGCCTCTCCACACCACCTCTTTGACAGTAGGTAACTTATCCAATGCTGTATCAAATAGTTTTAAATATAAAAACCATATCTTTAATCCTTGTCGATTTTCAGATCGTAATGCTTTATTTAATGTACGATACAAAGTAGCTTCACCCCATTCCATCGTGTAGATATAAATAGCAGCTGATTGATCATGTGAAAGTCCATGTTCTGATGGAAAATGACAGCTGCGTTTGGCTATCTTTATCCAATAAGGCAGATTATCTATTTGAGGTTCGATAGGTTCTAGTGCTTTTTCAATGGGAACTAGTTTTTGACTGCGATAGCCATAAACAACTGGAAGTCTCTTAAATGAAACATCGATATCACCAAAACGATTCATCTCGTACGTGTTTTATATGCTGTTGAACGTTGATGAAAGTGTGATTGTTATGAATCCGAAGCAGTTGATAAAAATATTTTTGGTTTGCTTTGCTATAGAGCATTCTAGAAAATATGTCTTTAGTACTTCCTCTTTCTGTATAAAAATAGAAGAGCAGTCATCCTATTCCGCAAAGTTGAACATTCCGGAAACAGTTCCGACCCCGGAATCGTTTCCAGCGATTCCGGAATAGAATGTACACCGAGTCCCCAACAATTCCAAGGAATTCCGTTTAATTCCGGAATTCCTCAATTAAACAACACCGGAATCGCTGGGAATTGCTAGGAACTCCGCCCAATTCCGTCTAATTCCGGAATTACAACTTCTGTTTTTATTCTATCAATCTTTATCGATGTAATAACTATCCGATCCCGTTTAGGAATTCCGGATTTGAGCGGATCCGGAATCGGTGGGAATTTGTAGGAATTCCGCCCAATTCCGGAATTACAACTTGTGTTTTTATTCCATCAATCTTTATCGATGTAATGATCATCTGATTCCGCTCAGAAATTCCGGATTTGAGCGGATCCGGAATCGGTGGGAATTGGTAGGAATTCCGTTCGATTCCATCCAATTCCGGAATTACTACTTGTGTTTTTATTCTATTAAACTTTATCGATGTAATCATCATCCAATTCCGCTTAGGAATTCCGGATTTGAGCGGATCCGGAATCGGTGGGAATTGGCAGGAATTCCGTCCAATTCTGGAATTACAACTTGTGTTTTTATTCCATCAATCTTTATCGATGTAATAATCATCCGATTCCGCTTAGGAATTCCAGATTTGAGCGGATCCGGAATCGGTGGGAATTACTAGAAATTCCGTCGAAATCCGTCCAATTCCGGAATTACAACTTCTGTTTTTATTCTATCAATCTTTATCGATGTATTGAGGGTGTGGGTGTGGGTGTTGGCGTGAGTGTGAGTGTGGATGGGTGTGGGTGTGTGGGTAGGTATGGGTGTGGGTGCATGTGGGTGTAGGTGTGGGTGTGGGTGTGGGTGTGGGTGTGAGTGTGGGTGTGGGTGCGGGTATGGGTGTGTGTGTGGGTGTGTGTGGAGTGTGGGTGTGGGTGTGGGTGTGGGTGTGGGTGTGACTGTGGGTGTGGGTGTGGGTGTGACTGTGGGTGTGGGTGTGTGTGTGTGGAGTGTGGGTGTGGGTGTGGGTGTGACTGTGGGTGTGGGTGTGTGTGTGCGTGATGAGAAGATATCCGCATCCACACTCACACGCTCATCCACACCCCACACCCCACACCCGCAACCACAGCCACACCCTACAGTTATAACGCTCAGCCGATGAGTGTGATACGAAGGCTGAGCGGTTCCGGAATCACTAGGAATTCCGCGGAATTCCTTGCAAATCCTTGCGATTCCGGATCCGTAAGATACCCGGAATTCCGTCCCGGAATTACATCCAGTTATAAGGGTCAGCAGATGAGTGTGATACCAAGGCTGAGCGGTTCCGGAATCACTAGGCATTCCGCGGAATTACTTCCGAATCCTTGCGATTCCGGATCCGTCTAATATCCGGAATTTCGTGCCGGAATTACATCCAGTTATAAGGCTCACCAGATGAGTGTGATACCAAGGCTGAGCGGTTCCGGAATCACTAGGAATACCGCGGAATTCCTTCCAAATCCTTGCGATTCCGGATCCGTCCAATATCCGGAATTACGTGCCGGAATTACATCCAGTCGTAAGCCTGAGCCGATCACTGTGATACTAAGGCTGAGCGATTCCGGAATCACTAGGAATGCCGTGGAATTCCTTCCGATTCTTTGCGATTCCGGATCCGTCCAATACCCGGAATTCCGTGCCGGAATTACATCCAGTTATAAGGCTTACCAGATGAGTGTGATACCAAGACTTGGCGGTTCCGGAATCACTAGGAATTCCGCGGATTTCCTTCCGATTCTTTGCGATTCCGGATCCGTCCAATACCCGGAATTCCGTCCCGGAATTACATCCAGTCGTAAGCCTGAGCCGATCACTGTGATATTAAGGCTGAGCGATTCCGGAATCACTAGGAATTCCGCGGAATTTCTTCCAAATGGTTGCGATTCCGGATCCGTGCGATACCCGGAATTAGATGCAGTTATAAGCCTCAGGAGATGAGAGTGATGCCAATGCTGAGCGATTCCGAAATCGATAGGATCTGTTGTAAAGGATTCTGGAATCGGATTGTGACCTGGTTGAATTTAGTTCCGGAATCGGTGGAATTGATTCCGGGACGGGAACTGATTCCGGAATGTTCAACATCGCGGAATGGGATGTATTCTCTAATAGAAAAAGAAATTGCTTCTTTTTGTCCTGATAGTCTATTTGTGACTCTGATAAAAAGAATATGAACACTATCAGCAGAAAGACTTGCATCCTCTGTTTCTTGAAGATTTGTCTTCAAGTGGCTTATGTAAAACTCTTAACTATTCGAAGCGTGCTGTATCATTTGCAAAGATCGATTAGTGTACGATAGCATTTTATGATTTACAAAATAGATAAAATCACCGCAAAATCAACAATAATAATAAAAACTTCTTGTGGTTAAGTTATTATTGCAAGCAGAAAAAAAGTCACGCATACAATTTTCGACCGTGATTCGATTACTTCTAAGATCATGCCGACAGTTCTAGGGAGAAAATTATCGCTTTTAGCAGAAACGTTAAAGCAATTGATTAACTCGTTGTGAACATTTATGAAATAAATATTTGTTATAAAACGTAAGTATATGTTTGATGATTACTTCAACAGTGCGCAGCTTAAAATATGAACGGAATTTCTCAAGATAGTTTTCCAAAATCGGAAACCGGTGAATGTGACAATTAATTTTGAAAAAAGTTTTAACTGCTATGGATTAAAAATAGAACAATCATCTGAAAAGGATAGACCCACCTCAGCTCAATCCGTAGCCTAAAAAATTTTGAAGAGAATCATATTTTGGTTTGAATTGGCTTGTTTTTATGATGAGCACTCATGAGCTATAAGCTTTAGTTCATGAATAAAGCTTAACTCATAGGCTAATTTCAAAATTAAAACGTAGTATTGTTTAGCTATTTTCTGCTAGACATTCCAAACGTTATAACTTGTGGAAATTCTAAATTTTGTTTATTTGCTCACACTTATCGAAAATAGAGAGCAAATAAATATATAAAAAGAACGAAATTCATTCAATGATCAAAGTTAATCTGTTTCATTCATCTTAACGAAGTACGACATATCAAAGGCTTAACTCAGTTCTATATGGGTGTGGGTGGCTGTGGGTGTGTGAAGATGGAAGCTCCACTCAAAACCAAACGCACACCGACACTTACACCCAAGTGATTCAATCTTGATGTTTCACATTATTGTCAGTGGTGAAGGTTATTCCTTTAACTCTGCTGCATTTTTGAGTGAAGCAAAGCTTTCTGCCCTCACTGTTACAGATTTTACTATGGTTGACAAATTTTCGTCTTTATTGTCACTTATCGCTCTCTGATTGACATTTTCTGCTCTCCATCTGTGAAGACTGTTTACTGACCAGAAGCTGTCGCACTGGTACTCTTATCCACACTCAAGTTTTACCATTGTCTCCGTCTTCTTTTCATAAGTGATCTAATTAAATTCGTAGTTACATTATACAGATTGTCGTTTTTTATCTCCTTAATAACTGAAATTGATTAATAGAGTTGACGAACAAACGAGTGAAACAAAGCTTCTTACATACAGATAGCATGATAGAATTGAGATGAATGAAAAGATCAAAGCTACATGAGGCAGCTACGAAATAGTGAATAAATGCAGACGATAATCAACATAAATTGACAAGCCGATCGGCTTGAATAAAGTCAATCACGTGTCTTAATTTTATATCTTTATCGATTGTTTCAAATATCTACAGTGTGTGGGCGCTGATTGTATAAAATTCAAAATAGTTCCTTTTGCTTTTCGAATCTCCCTAATAATTTACTTACCATGGCCAAGTAATTGAAGCTGAAATTTTCTGACTAAAGTTAATAGTATGCTGTTGTTGATAGAATTTGTTTGCACCTTGCACCGTTGGCTTGCTTTTTTTAAAGTGATTTGTTTCTTTACTTTTGCAGCATGGCAACGCTTTCTGCTTCGTTTTTGCGTGTGTATACCTTCTTTTCTCTGTTTTTTTTATCATTCTTATCGAATAAGCACTCTATGAGAAGAACGGCACATACGAGTAATAAAAGATTCACCGATAGTGAAGACAACAAGTGACGACAAAGAAGCAAAAAAGACGAATATATGCTTGGTGAGGATGTGGGTGTGGATGGTGTGGGTAGGTGTGAGTCTGGGGTGTGGGTGGGTTTGGGTGTGGGTTTGGGTGTGGGTGTGGGTGGAGTGCGTGGGTGGGATGTGTGGGTGTGTGAGTGTGGGTGTGGGTGAGGCTGGGGTGTGTGGGTGTGGGTGTGGGTGTGGG